ATTCTGGGAGTTGAAGTCCACACGTCTTCAGGTTGCCAAGGTTGAGAAACACTGTCTTAAAGGGATGGGTGAATCTTCCTTAATGCTTTCTCTGCCCCACCCTGGTCCAGATTCGGAGTTGGTACCAAGCCGGGGAGACCTGGGACAGCAAGTTCTCAAGCGTGGCGTCAAGTTACGAGGAGTGCCGGGCGGAGTGTGTGGGTCTCTACCTCTGTTTGAACAAAGATGTGTTACGGTGAGCTACAGCCGGCTTTGGAGAGGGTGGAGGACAGCAGGTGAAGAGGACACTCTTAGGGGCTGAACAGCCCAACTGGGGAGCCAGAAGAGGCAGATTTGGGTCCAAGCTGGACCTTTTGCTCCGTGAAAATGTGGACACCTCGGTTTTCCTCGGGGGAAGAAAAGCCCCAAGACTTCCTCTTGCTTTCAAGGTGGAACATTTCCCTGCCGAGTCTCAACCGTGGTTGATGGAACAGACTGTAGTTGGGATCGAGACGGGATGGCAGAGTTGTAGTTGGAGGTCCCTCTGTCTAGTCCATCCCTCTGCTCAGGGTAGGAATCCAGATTAAAACACCCCCTGACAGATAGCTGCCTAGACTTTCCTTAAACACCTCCTGCAAGGGGGGGGGAACCCACTTCTTTTCTTGGTCCCCGGTTCCAATACACAACTCTTCTAATTACGAATTTTTTTTGTTCTTGTTCCACCATGATCTCCAGTGTTTCTCAACCTTAGCAACTTGAAGAGGTGTGGACTTCAACTCCCAGAATTCCCCAGCCAGCCATGCTGGCTGGGGAATTCTGGGAATTGAAGTCCACACCTCTTCAAGTTGCCATGGTTGAGAAACACTGATCTAGTCTCATTCTTCATTGGTATGATTTCTTTTGGGGTTCAGCCAAACTCAGTTCATCCACAGGGTAGGTTAGCCTGTGTGAATTCAGGGTCTGTGTACACTTCAAGCTAAGGGCAGAGGATTTAGGAGGAACAGAAACCATTGTGCTGAATTTCTAGGGTAGTTGGGCTTCGCTTTTCCCCATCCCATCTCTCCTGTGGCCTCTTCAGACAGGCTGAAACGTTATCCCTGCAGCTTTCAGATTGGGCCAGCTGCTAAAAAATTCAGTATGTGGGGCTTTTGGAACCCCCTGCCACATGCAGTTCAAACCTAGCTTCCCAAACAACTTTGGAAGGGTTTGGCCTCAGTGTTACCTGTCTGCAAAATGGGAATGAGAGTTCCATTCCCCCATGCTCTGTGTTGATCTTTTTTTTTCCCTTCTGGCTGGAGTCATCACCATTCTTTCTTCCTCGTCAGGATCTTTGAACTGAAAGGGGAAGATGCTGAAAACGTGATCTATATTAACTGGCTGAACATGGTCCGGGCAGGACTGTTGGCTCTGGAATTCTACACGCCCGAATCTGGGACGTGGCGGCAGGTGAGGAACGGGTTTAGGAACCGTGTTTTCCTGGCTTTTCAACTTGCCCCGTTGGCAAAGGATGAAAAGGTTGACTTTATTATTATTAATCCTGCTATTTAATATATTTATTTGTACATAGAACTGTTATAAATGTTATGATGGAACATTGACATGCTACTTTATTGTCGATGCTTCCAAAGTTGACTTGCCCCTGCTGCCAAGGTGTGAAATGTTCCTTAAAGTTAGTTTATTTTTGTTCTGTTGATTTGTAAATAATCTAAACGTTATATTTATTTATAAACGAGGAAAACATAAGGACAGTGGTTATGCGCACTACATCCATGTCCCTTGGGCGTTTATTAAGTT